GCACGGGATCAGGCCCTCTCCAGGAGCCCATTAGGACATCTTTCCATTTTACTATGCCTCTAGAGGGGCCATGAGAATTCTGATGTCTGTCTGCAGCTGAGCGGCCGTGGATATCCAAATTTAAAAAATTTAGGGTAAATAAGGCTAACGATATTCTCTCCTTGGGGGCACAGCCTTGGCCTACTCCCCCTTTTTGTTTTTGTAGGCATTCTTTTAAGGTGCGATGAGCACATTCCACAATACCCTGGCCTTGAGGGTTATATGGTAAGCCATGGTTTAGGTATATCTCCATTTGTCCGCAAAAGAAGGTGAATGAATTGGCCGTATAGGCTGGCCCATTGTCGGTTTTAAGCTGCCGTGGTTTTCCCCAGGCAGCCCAGGCTTCCAAGCAACGGCTGTCGGATAATGCTCCACTGATTTAGTAGGCGAAATTTTAGGATATATCCATAACAATGGCCCTTCCTGCCACAATAATCCTGTAGGTTGATAGGCAGTGGCAAAGATGCATAAAAGAATAGGCCGATGGTCTTGCCATCGTTGTAGAAAGGCATTCTGAAGTCTCTCCTCAACCTTTTGCAAAGCTACTCTAGCCTCTGCTGTCAATTTCCTAGTGGAATCAAGTGCTGAGTCACCATTTAAAATATTATACAACAGTTTAGGTGTCATACAATGTCTATTTAATGCCTCAACTTAAGCCAGAGTGAACGAGGCCGTAATGCCATACGTCCTAACTGATTCTGCCAAAGATTTTATGGCCTTAAAATCAAGAGGCTCCTCATAGCGATTAGCTTGAGCATCTTGAAAAACTGGGCAAGCAAGTTGTAACTCCGATCTCACTGCTCGCCACACCTCTGGGCAAAATGAACGTCCTGAGCCTCCAGTAGGGGTGCTTTTCTTGAGTTTCAAATTTTTAGATAACAGCAGCTCCTGAAGAGCCAAAAAAAATTGGGTGTGACTGAGAAGCGCCCATACTTTGGATACACTGTGCCTTTCACTTTTGGTCTGCAACAATGTAGACTTTTCTGCTCTCTCTTTGTCTGCAGCAAAGAGTGAAATGGCTACGCTCCATTCCACAGACTTTATTGTTCCAATCTGCTCGGAAACTTTCCCTTATTCCACAACTTTCCCTCGTCCCATTTACCTGGGAACTTTGCCTTGTCCCAATAACCTGGGAGCTTTGTCTGTCTTGTCCCAATAACCTGGGAACTTTGTCTTGTCCCAATAACCTGGGAGCTTTATTGTTCCTACCCGGAAACTTTATTGCCTCTTTTACCGAGGGCCTTCTCTTGTCCCAACTTAACCTGGGAACTTACCGGTGCACCACCCTGACTGCTTGAAGTTCTGAGCTTCGCTGTTTCCCCGTGCGGGCCGCCAGTTGTCGCGTCCACCCTCGACCAGCAAGGAAGATGCAACGCAGGAGCTCTTCTCCAAGCAGTTTAATCAGGACCCTTGAACAATCTTCTAACTGATGACCTTCTAACTGACCACCTTCTAACTGACGACCTCGAGGGAAGCCTCTCCCAGGCTTAAGTACTCTAGGACTAGCCAACCCCCGTCTGCCACGTGGCAACAGCAGATAGGTCCACACACACGGAGACAAGCCAGATCAACTGCCACTGCCATATAAGGAGTTGTTTACTCCTAAGAGTCCTCGCCAGCAGGTGGTGGAAGGCAGAGACCAGTGCCATCTTAAAGGTGCAGCACTATGCGGCTCTCCACACCACCAGACCAATTTCCGGGGGATTTGCACCAGCTTGCAATCTCACCAACAATGGAGGAGTGTTAACTCTTTCTCCACATCCTTGCCAACATCTGTTATCACCTGAGTTTTTTAATCTTAGCCATTCTGACTAGTATGACGTGGAATCTCAGGGTTGTTTTGATTTGCATTTTCCTGATGACTAAGAATGTTGAACATTTCTTTAGGTGCTTCTTGTCCATTTGATATTCCTCAGTTGAGAATTCTTTGTTTAGCTCTGTACCCCATTTTTAATAGGATTATTTGGTTCTCTGGAGTCTAACTTCCTGAGTTCTATCAAGATGTAGGATTGGTAAAGATCTTTTCCCAATTTATTGGCTGCTGTTTTGTCCTATTGACAGCGTCTTTTTCCTTACAGAAGCTTTTCAATTTTATGAGGTCCCACTTGTTTATTGTTGATCGTGGAGCATAAGCCATTGATGTTCTGTTAGGAAAATTTCCCCTGTGCCCATGTGTTCGAGGTACTTTCTCTTCTAACAGTTTCAGTGTATCTAGTTTTATATGGAGGTCCTTGATCCACTTGAACTTGAGTTTTGTACAAGGAGATAATATTGGGTTAATTTGTATTCTTCTACATGCTGAGCTCCAGTTGAACCAGCACCATTTGTTGAAAATGCTGTCTTTTGTTCCGCTGCATGATTTTAGCTCCTTTGTCAAAGATCAAGTGACCATAAGTGTGTGGATTCATTTCTGGGTCTTTAATTCTATTCCCTTAATCTATCTGCCTGTCACTGTACAGATACCATGCAGTTATTATCACTATTGCTCTGTAGTACAGCTTGAGGTCAGGGATGGTGATTCCCTCTGAAGTTCTTTTATTGTTGAGAATAGCTTTTGGTATCCTGGGTTTTTGGTTATTCCAAATGAGTTTGCACACTGCTATTTCTAACTCTATGAAAAACTGAGGAGGCATTTTGATGGAGACCACATTGAATCTGTAGATTGCCTTTGGCAGATGGCCATTGTCCACTGAGTCATCAGTTCATCTCATAGGTTGAAGTAAGAGTCCGTCATCCTACACACACACTGTTTGACTACAATAGCTGTGTGGGATTTTTGTTTTTATTTTGTTTTGATTTTTCATCTTTTCATTTTAACATTGTAGCATGAAATTAGTTGTGAGAGCTTGAGTGTAGCATCAATCACTTGAAACAGAATCTTCATCTTATTTTAACATTGAATTAGAGTTAGAAACTGGAGGTTTATTTTTTTCCCTTTTCAAATTTCATTAAGCTCTTTGCTTTTGAAAGTGTTTGTAAGTTGTATAGCATAATTATTTCTTCAGTTAACTATGGTCAAGGACCATGAAGTGTTATGCTTTTTAAAAACAGTAGTATCAGTAACCAGTGGACATGTTATGGGAGTGTCATAGCTGTGTTTTATAAAAAATTGTAGCATTGCATTGGTAACCAGTAGACATGTTATGGGAGTGTCATATCTGTCCTCTATTGTTCTGAGGAGGGATCATGACCAAAACATCTTGAATTGGGGGTTTGCTTATGATTTCAGGGAATGAATAGAGTCTATGACTATCACAATGGGATACAGTAAGAAGGTTAGCATGGCAAGAGAGCAGTAGTTGAGGACTTAGCTATTGACACAAAACCATGAGGCAGAGAGAGGGAAAGAGAGTTAACTGGGAACAGGCAGTCTTTAGAGAGCCTGCCCCCAGTGACATACTTCCTCCTCCAACAAGGCCACACATTCAAATCCATCCCAAGCTAGGAACTAAGCATTCTAATATATTGCCTATGGGAGCTATTCTTATTCAAATAACCACAGGAGAGAACCACAGTGAGGTGAACACTCAGAGAACACCTCTAGATTAGCCCAGTATTCCAAAGGCTGCTGCATCATTTTGCCTTTGTATGGGCTTTATTTGCAATGATCTCTTCACCTAGGCAACAGTACTGTCTGCAAGAAGACATTAGCTGTCAGGGAATGTAATCAATGTTAATCATCTAGGTCCAGCCCTAGCTGCTAGCTGCAGGTTCTGTTTAATATTAGGAGTCTACCTGGAATCATTTCCTCCTGTCTGAACTGACAGTACTGACTTGTTTATTAAGCTGATGTCTATGCAATTTCTGTTGTGCTATGAATTTGAGGTGGCCAATGAAGACAGCTGGTGACATGTAGGATGTCATTGTCTATGCAAATAGCTGTCACAGCAGCATTCTTCTGAGCCCCACACTTTAAAACGTAAGATAAAGCTTTGCTTTCTACTAAGAAGTGCCATACAGATTCAAGAGATTCTGACAGAAAAAAGCAGCCAGTTAAGGCAAAGAGACAAAACTGCAAGCGTTTATTAGGCTTAATAAGAGAAAAAAAATAAAAGATAAGGGAAGCTAGCCCTTGATAATTCTCAGTCTGGTTAAAGTTTATGATTATCAGTGCCCTTTGATTCTCCTTCTCCTTCCAACCACCTATTGAATATTCCAACTACTGAATATTTCTCTTCTCATTAACACCTGTCTAGAAGTGGGAAGGTGAAATGCTAATCAGGCAATTTGGCTAATTGTTAGCTGCTGCTAGTATGTAGGGTTTTTTTCCCCTTTCTTTCAAGTTCAGAAAGGGAAATGGTGAAATCCCTTTCTAAAATGTGAGCAGTGGATTTCTAAACTTTATTTGACCTTCTCTTTCTTTCACTGCTGAGATGAATTCAGATATTTTGTTTTCAATAAAGTGTTAGAATAAAACCCTGAGCTGGCATGCTTCTAAGGTTTTGTTTTAAGGTCACATTACATGCTTCTTATTGACTAATATTAATTTTTCACAACACGATTAGCTTAGAAGACTGGCCAGGAGTTAAATAATTTCACTTCTGACTGTAGCTCTATGTAAATGCACTTGCCTAGAGAATTTGGAGCTATAAAAAACCAACACAGAAAATTACTGACGACTGCCCTCCTCTCTGTCAGTGGTAGACATTACATGACCCTCCCCTAGCCAAATAAGGGAGAGAGGAATGTTCTGGGTATTAGAGGCACTAAGAATAAATCTGAGCTATCTCGGATAAGATTACTTTCAACACTTTATTTCATGTTTTCTGACACGGACCCCCAATCTGTAATTATCTCAGTGACACTGCGGGGGCGGGGGGGGGGATTAGTACTTTCTAGATACTCTGGCTTCGTTTTTCTCTTTTATTTGCTTTTATTTGTTTATTTATTTACTTATTTTTGCCTGTATCTTTAGGCTTGAGAGTTGGAGTGTGTGCGTGTGTGTTTGTGTGTGTGTGTTCCTCCAGAGTGGAAAAAAAAAAGTGCTGAAGAGTCCTAGGGAGATGAGGCTATTTTTGTTTGAAGCTGATACTTTTAGCTGAGCCACAAGTACTGCTTGGAAAGGGCTTAGGTTGTTTCCAGGGGAGAACTCTGCAGAGAAGAGGCAAAGTTCAACAAGACCACAAAAACCAGCCGAAACAGCCAGGAAAAGGAAGAGCCCTTGCCTTAACCCTCTCCCAGAGTTTTTTAATCCTACTTGAATCGGCAAAGTGCCACTTGACTGGAACTTTTCACCTGATTGATTTCTGCACCCACCATGACTGAGATCACCGCTGAAGGTACTGTTGCTTGGGGAGATTACGTAACGTAAATCAACAGTCACAGAGTACTACAGGCTTCTAGTTATTTTCATCTGTGAGTCAACATAGAATTTGCAAAATGAAATTGGGAGCTGAGAGGTTGCCAGATATGTGTGTTTGGGGGAGCAAGGAGAGATTTCTCTGGAATTTTGCATGTGGGAAGTGTTCTCTGTTACGCTAGAGGCCCCACTGATCTCTCCTTTATCACCTCACCTCTATAAATAGCTGAAGACATGGTGGCTGAGTTCTTATTAAGCAAAAATTATAAGACATGTGAGGATGGAGATGGAAAAAATCAAAATATTATGTGTGATGTGTCAGTTTAGAAATATGATCTAGAGCACTTTTTCTTTATAGTATTTAAAATGTGAATTCTTGAATGCCTTTCCTTTCCAGTTAGGATAGACAGCTTGCTCGTATGCATCTCAGATAGAAGTGCCTTGAAGAATCATAGTCATTTTATTATTGATATATGCTCAACCACAAAGTTAGACATTTCAGAAAGTCAGACCACTCTAACTTTAAAAAATAAAGCATTTAACTCTTACAAATCTAACTATTTCGTGAACTCATTTTTTTTCTCTGTAAGTAGTGAGTTTTATATTTATATTAACAAATATTTTCTATTTAAACTCTTATAATACACACACACACACACACACACTTCTTACTAATGAAGTAATCCTTTAAAAATAATACAAGCTCATTTTAGTTGAGGTAAAACTATGGGAGATAGGCCTAACATTCTCTTTGGCAGCTATAAGAACATAAAGCAAGCAGTACTTTTGACAGTTTTCAAGTTAAATGACATTTTGTTTTTAACCAGACTGTAAAATAGAAATCTATGAATTTTATCTCTTTTGTGGGTAGAATCTATATCCAGAAAATAATTTTCTCTGCAGATTTAGTCAATATCTGTGAAGAAAAAAAATGCTTTGCTTTTTAGATAATATTAGTTACAAGTTATAGATAGTCTGTCACCACAAAATAATAACAATAATTACTGAGAGATTTCCTTTATTAGGCATTTTATTTAGAATTATATGAACATTTCCTTTGTGAGACCTCAAACCATTCCACTAAGTAGCATTTTGATCTCTATTTCACACACACAAAAATCTGTTACTCAGATATTCCATGACTTGTCCATTACCAAACTGTAGTCAAGATTGAGTGTCAGCCCCTTGAAGCCAGCCTGTGTTTTCTCGTTTCCTTTAGAGAATATAAAATTTACTGTTTGTCAGTTTTAGTTCAGAATTTGCTGACTTAATATAAATAGTATTTTTTCCATTCTTTGGACACTCTGTGTCATGTGGCCCTTATGTTGGCCTTGAAAAGATCTGTCTATAAATGTGTCTTGACTATTCCTGTACAAAATTAAAAAACGTCTGTGCATTCCTGTCAGCCTATGCTCTGAACTGAACTCAGACTGCTGCTAATTTCAGATATTGCTTACCAGTTGTGCCCCTTGATTATAGTGCATGTTCTATATGCATTTGCTATATCCATAGCACGCTTTATTAAAGGATTGTTGTTCTGAAATAGAATGATTTGTACAAATAGGGAGTTGAAAGACATTGTGAAGTCTCTTTGGTAGGACCCATAAAAAGCAACTGAGTGACTCTAAGTTGACTATGTGAGCCCAGCCTATAATTTTCATTTCCCATGGTCTGGTCTTTGCAGTTGGTAGGATCTCTACCATGTGAACGTGAGTGTTGTACTTACTCCTTCTCTGCAATGATCTGTTTATTTGTCAGAAGAAACTTAGATTGCCAGTTCAATAAATTTGTCTCGTTTGTGCTTAGTCAACCTCCTCAGTTTTCCAAAGGATTTTATACTTTTTATTTTATCCTGTGATTCCCACTCTTTGTTTCTTATCGATAACAACCTTTTTTCTCTCTTTCTGTTTTGCCTTTCATTGTTTTGTAAAGGCCTTGTTTCTCATTGTCCTTTCAGCCTCGGATTGTCTTTTCTTTCATCTACCTCTAATGCATGCCACAATTACCAAACTTAAAGACTCTTTCACTTATATTTTTCTATTGATATTTCAAGTTGGATAATTCCTCCAGTTTGGGGGGGGGGGGCATGTTCCATGTAAAGAGTATTCCAGGCTCAGAGTATTAGTTGAAACAGAAATCAAAATTGAGCCCCAAAGGATTTTAGGGAAACAACACCTTTTATTCTAGCCATGATAAAGATGGTAATGATAACACCCAGTCAATATATGTTCTGGAGACTTAAGATATCAGACTTACACTGCTTTGTTGCTATTTGTAGAGTATGAAACTAAGGTTTAGGAAGGTTATGAAATATGCAAGGACTGATACAGCTTCAGTTCATGTCTGAAGACAGTGAAGTTGAATCTGCTTTTTCATTTTGTGAGATGCAGAGTTAGTTTGATATTGGGTAGCTCTTGGATGTCTCCTACATTGAGTAGCTGAGATTAGGCTCAGACCATAGCAGCACCAACCAGTGCTCAGATCAGATCAGAAGCTTTAAATAAGACTCTCTTCATTTCTTATTCCTCTCATCCTGTACTTAAAGACAGAAGAAAGAAATAAATATCAAAGCCTAAAGCATTGTTTGACAGACCCAGACAACTGATAGACAAAACAATAGCTAGAAATGATTTTTTCATTTTTATTACTTTTATTTTTTTACAGTCCAGTTGTTACCCCCATCATTGTCCACACTCCCTAGAAGAGAAAGATTTAAAAACAGACAACTGAGAAGAAGAAAGACAGAAAAGGAAAGTAAATCAGCCCCAATAAGTAGATAAGTAGACAAATGAGGAAAATTTGTAATTGAGGCTATATGAACCACCATAGTACAAACCAATAGAAAGAGATACTAAGGAGAAGAATGCATTAAAACAAGGGACAGTCTATCCTTATGTGCAGCATTGGTGGACTATGAATCAGGCAATCTTGAAAAAGAAAACTTGTAATGGGAATATCGATTATTTGATGACCTAGCTGCTTGATGAGACTTAGGGAAATGCTCTTCTGTGCCAACTGAGATGACCACATCAAGATATGATTTTAAACTATTATTATTTGGAGATACAGGATAAATTATATGTGGTTAATGTAGATGCTTTTGTAGTTCCAAACAATACCCTATAAAGGAAAATGTGAATGTCAGTATGTTAAGACAGAATATATGCTGAATGATCTACAGAAAAAAAATTAATCTCATTGTCCTAATTCTGTGAATATGTAATTATTCCCAAAATAAGGAATTTAGACAAAAAGTTAATGTGTTTAGTAATGTAACTTTTAATAAAATTTTACTTCCTCTTATAAGGTAACTGAGGCAGTAAGGCAGATTGACTTGGTTTGAGTGGCTGAAACTGCTTTATTACTGTAACAGCCAGAGACTCAAGCCTTTCTGAGGGGATGAAGACTGAACACACTGAGAGAGAATGAGTGACATCTATTTGTACATAGCTAGCTACCAGGAAGTTACAGTTTGTTTTGGTAGTTTAATTAGGCACGGGGTAGGTTGCTTCTATACCTATGTGTATTGTTCCTACAGGTTGAGGAGAATGGTCAGGCTGGGGCTAAGGCATTCTTTATGGCTAGGGGCTGTTGCACAGTATAGCTACACTCAGTCCCTCATGATCTGAGGCTATTACTGGCCATATTGAAATCAAGAGGTCAGGTGGTCATCGAATCGACAGACTACCAAATATAAAACTCAAGCTGCTTTTTTGTTTCATTACTCCATTTTTAGTGGAAACCAATATAAATCTATCAGGCCTAGGGATTTCGGATATTTATTATGCTAACAGCAGATGAGAAAGTAATAATTTAATTATATTCATTATTATATAGGTAACTGGAAGCTAGTCTTATTTATCAAAATTATAAGTGACATTAATTACAAACATTAATCAGTAGACGTTATCTTTTAATGTATTTTGTGGAAAAATCTGAGCAACACACACAAAAAAGTCCTAAAAAGTGCTGTAAGTTGGGCCTTTTAAACACAAAACCAAATAGAGCCCAACAAAGGTACATTTATACGTAGGAACCTCTTGCATACTATTACAAAAACAATAAAAGACAGGTGTCATATAAACCCAATCTGTCTAGCTAGTTGGTAAATTTGGTTCATGCTTTCTTAACTGAACAAAGTACCCAGTATGCAAGTTGCAAACTCTCTGGCAAAAATGAGCAGAACTCTTGTCCTTATACCACCAGCCTAAGCTGGGTTCCCCTAAGTTTTTCCTGTATCTACTATTATTGTTAATAATACTGGCTACTCTTACTTTATAAGCACATAATTTTATGCAGAATATTCTATCAGTTTAACAATTTCTTAATCTCTCACTTTTTATTTTTGATCACCATTGTGACCATAGTTTCAAGTCAGTCTCCTTTACAGTGTGTAAATGAATTGAGACTATTCAGAAGCTTTAAAAAAAAAGGCTTAGACATCTCTAGAGACTCTAAATTTCCAATGTTGTTCACATTAATATTTAATCAGTTAAGAGAATTTAATATTATGGAAACACAGAACAGAGGACAAGCAAGTTTAACATAGTCTATAACAGTGGTTCTAAACCTTCATAATGCTGAAACCCTTTAGTACAGTGTTTTAAGTTGTGATGACCCTCAACCATAAAATTATTTTCACTGCTACATTCTAACTGTAATTTTGCTACTGTTATAAATTATAATGTAAATATAGTATATACAGGATATCTGATAGATAACCCTTATCAGAGTCACAACCCACAGGTTGAGAACCACTGGTCTATGTTGACCTGTGGGTTAGACATATCAACTGGAAAGGAGAATACAGAAGTGGTTGTCATTTTTCAGTTAAATTTTTAATGGTGAATTTGGTTTGCTTATTTAGAGCTTAATATTATAATATAATAATATAATAATATAGTAATATATATATATAATATTATAATATTATTGCTTATTTTTCCCCTTTGAATAAAGAGAAATCCTTTGGGGACAAAT